GCACAGTTCTGGACAAGGAGCTTGTACCATTTTGACAGTGTCCTCAGGACTTCATAGACCTGTGGACACTCTCCCTCCCTGAAGAAGAGCTGGATTGCAGTTCTGCCACCTTTCAGAAAACCACTCAACTTCCTATATTAAACCAAATGCTGTTAATTCTGGTCTAAGAGCTAGAGGGGTAACTTTAACAAATGAACTGCCCTCAACTTTAAGAGAAGAGCTAGAGCTTGACTTGTCATGCTCAGGTGATACAAACCATAATATCACTCATGGGACTTGGCCATAGGAGATGATCAACCCTCCTGGCTCAACCTATTGTAAAGCATTTAACATGCAATAGGAATATGAAAGTACAAAACCCAAAAGACTTGCTGCCTTGGTTATGAGATTTGCCCGTGATCTAATAGTCCCAAGCACATAAGCTTATATGGTTATATACCACTGACTTGTCCCACCAGCATGAGGAGTATCAACCATGAAGAGAATAAGGCGGGTGGATGCTCTGTGTGTGCCAGTCCCTTTGCTACTGCTTCACAGGAGATCCAGAGGCAAAGCTGCAATTCACAGTCTGAGTGGTATTTCCTATGGCCTGCTGCATTAAAGGCTAGTTGATAAATTAACACAGATGGTTAACAGACCAACCCAAAAAGCATGGCTGTGTGGGTGTGCGTGCAGCAGTTAAGAACAGGGCTGCCAAGGTAAGATTATTTGGCAGAGTTACACTTCACGGGAGGGCACAGCTTTCATGTAACGACCCTGCACAACAGGGAGAAAAATCCCACCGCTGTAGCTCCTGACTGGAACCAAAGGAAAGACTGCTTGAAACTCCAGCCCCCAGTTGCCCATGACAGCTATTGGAGTATGTCCTGTCAGCAGCTATTTCAGTGATGGTTCATACACTCGAACAGAGCACAACAGGGAGGCTGGGCACCAGCAAGGAGGACAGAACAAACTGTATAAATACAGACACAGGAGGGCACGAAAAAACCAACCAAAGCAGTCCTCCCAGGGCTCCCTAGACCCCACAGTCTCTGCTCTGTGTTGATGCTTTTCCTACCATCTCTTACAGGGTGAAGTGAGGAAGGGAGGTGGCAGTGAATGGTGAAAGAGACATCATAATGGAATTTGCTCACCTTGTAAAGTAAATAAGGAGGAAGAGAAGGTCTTGCCCCATGGTTTTCTTGTACAGCTTTTGTGGTCCTGGTCAAATATTAACTCCTTGCTTGTACCCGATTTCATCACAGGGATGAAGTCCAAAGGTTCCTGCAGGGGAGAGGACTGACATTCCTGGTGGACTTCTGGTCTTTCTGAGGAGGAGCAGGAAGACAGTGAGGGAGGAGATATTCCTTCTCTTTGGAGGCCACAGGAGCATGGGGCTGGGTGTGCATTTCTCTTGGGCCCTCAGGGAGTGGGTTTATGCCCATGAGCTCCACCATGGCTCAGCACTGCAAACCTTGGTCACCAAAGCCACAGCTCCAAGGAGCTGCGTAAGTTCTTCAGCTGCTGCATTGCAAGAAGCAGCCCAGAGGAGCAGGAATCATGCCTGCTCCTACATCTGTTGGCTGGACAGCCCTTATGATGTGGGCAAAGTCATGCCCCTCCAGCCCTTCAGTGGTCCCTTCAGTCCAGCTGGGAAACGCCTCCCTTGCTTAGGACTCAAGCCCCTGAGCTTGGACCCTTCTGGCAGAGGTCCACAGAGAGCCACACAGTGGGGAGCCACATCCCTATGCCTCCTGCCTGCCTCTTAGGAGCTCCGTATCCAAAGGTACCTGACAACAACAGCTCCCACCAAGTTTCCCTGGAAGCTGTTGGCGCTCAGCATTTGTAGCCCAAGCATTTGTGGCTTTCAAAAAACACTGGAGAGATTTAACTGGGAATCCAAACCTGCAAAGCTTGATGCAGTCATTGACAGTACTGCCAGAGACCTCCTGGTTCACACCAGGAACAGTAAATATTATCATTTGCTTAGATTTGGAAGACTTTCCACCAGCAGATTATCACTTTTAAGGAAACCAGCATTCCAAAGCTTGTCCTACCCAGGACGCAGTACCCACCAGAAGGCAAATTAAAAAGGACAAACAACTTTTCTTAGTGTTTATTGAGAGTTGCCTTTATACACGAGGGACTGGTGCTCTGATGCTGTCACAAGTGAACCCAAATAAACCCTGCTCAAGTGTCAAGCAATTCAACCCACTGAATTTAAATTAGAACATTATTACACATCAAAAATAAATTAAGACGACTGCCTAGTAGTTGCAGATAATGAAATAAAAATCCTTGTCAAAAGTAAAAAAAACCCAATGCAAACACAAGAACAATGAAACACACAGAATGATGTTGCCAATAAGTTAACAAATAGCACACACACGTAATGGTTTTCCAAAAGCTCAGGGTGCACTGTCAGTGATGCTGAAATCCATTGCAAGTGCTGCAGGTGAGCTGGTGCTCAGGCTGCCAGGGACAGCATCAGCCACTGTGCTCAAGCTGCTCACGCCTGGCTCCCTCAGCTTCTAACTGCCTCAATTGAACTAAAGATGGTTCAGAAGCTGCTTTTATCACTTAAAACCCTTCAAACACACATTTTGGTCATGAGTTCTTACTTTTGCTTAGCTCAAGTACAGGAGGGACTGATATAAACTAACCTGGTATCATAGGTATCAATGACAGTCTGAAAGCACACTCCAGTGAAATCAAGATCAACTTTGTAGACAAGTGCATAAGCAAAACCAAAACAAACCCTTTCACCACCAAAACAACGCTGTGTATTCAAGGATTTATATTGATTCAACATATGAATTAGACACACGTAAATAAATCATCAAGCCACTGATACTTGTGCACACAGATGAAGCCTAACACACTTTGGTCCTAGAGAGCTGAGAGCTTTCCAGGCCTGGATTCCTCTGATGCTGCCCACAAGTGACACCTTTGTGATTTGGACTAACAGCCACCCTAAGGAATTTGGCATTTTAAGATATGACCCCAGGCAGTGTGTGCACACCCGGGTTTTCAAGTAAAGAAGGACTTTGCACACCATCATCCAGGCTGCCTCCTCACTACACTGCTAAAATGCAGTGACAGCACTGCCGCTGTCAAATGTGATTCCTGCTACTGGTGTCAAACACACACTTAAAAGAACACAGTCAGTATGGACATGTGCCCAGGGCTGACACATGCCAGAAGTTAGCCATACACTTCAGCAAACCATGCTAAAATCTGAACAGGCTAAACCCTTCCCTAAAGTAAGGCTGACCAAGCCCTCACTGGTTAGCCCTCAGGGAACCAGGCTGCACTACAATTAAGACTTGAGGAAATGCCTTCACTCCCATGGCACTGGACCTAGCTGTGCATGCAGGTAGGGAGCACCGCATGGGAATCCCGCGCCACATGGCATGGGCTGGCCAGTGGTTCTAGGAGGAGCACAATTGCATATGACCTGACTGCATTTTAATGCCCAGTGCTTGCCATTATATATGCACAGCTCCTGAAGGTCTTGCATAAGCACAACCGCTGAAGACAAACCCAGCTAGTCTCCAAAATACAGGTAATAAAAACCAGCACCGTCTCCATGCTACCCTTTCACATATTTCCTTCTCAAAGCATAGACAGTAAACAAATTTTATGGTCACCACTCCTAGCGAGATGGAAACTGCCATAAGGAAGGGTTTTGAGCTCCCGCTCCAAACACACTGCCTCATAGCAGAGCATTCCTGACAGCATTTTTCACTTCTGAAAATTTAAGGCACCAAATTGATCAAAATGAGGGGTTTCCATGCAGCGTGGTGTCTTCAGAGCTGGTACATGCAGCCTGTAGAGCTCAATTCCTGAGGGCAGAACTCAGCTGCCCCTGCAAGACAGCATGCACAGCTATGGGAGAGCTTCAGTTTAAGTGTACAAGTTAATCGAACAGCAGATTCAATCAGGAAATCCAAAACAAGGAGATGGACACTAACGTACCGTACTGTAAGGCACTCCTACTGGGAAGGGAAAACTGGAAGGCAAATTAGGAAGGAGAGAATGATCAGACTCAACTGGTTCAAAAGCGACACAATGAGCTCAAAGTCTAGCTGTAGGCTCAGTACTGTGAGCAAAGACAGGGACAGAGGGAGAGGGGGGACTGCCTTGCAACTGATCAGCAAAGATGATGATGATGATTGTTCAATTACACTTCTTTTATAGAAATCAACAGTCGTCTGCAATCCAGGCCGTGACCTTGGGAAGCTCAGGAAACTCAGTGGCTTCTGCTGCTACAGGGAAAAAGCGAAATACAACTGTGCAGCTTCTGCATCTCACTGTAAACAGACATCCTCTGCTTTTCTAAGTCTTTCAGGATGTTATCATCAATCCATTATAATATACATAATCTGATATTAGGAGAAGCCTTGACAAGAGGAGCATCAGAGGTACCCTGAGGATTGACTCCTAAAAGGTCATCAGAGCCTGTGGAGTACTGTGAAAAACTCAAGTTCCTCACCAAAAACAAACTTTTCTCACTTATCTGTGAAACCTTCACAACTGCCAATTCCTACCCTCCCAGCAATGAGCTCATATTGGTATGTGCCAGCCAGGATACACACATCCCAGTTGTGTCACATCCCAAAACCACCATTTTTCATCACCTAAGACAGACCAAAAAGAAAGCAATAGAAAGAGTTCTATATAAGAGATCAAAATTTCTCTTTTTATAGGTTGCTAATATATAAAGACTAGGTAGGTCCTTCGTCTCATCAAAAGAACACTGGAGGAAAAGAGACTCAAATAAGGATCTTTCTAGTGTCCTAGATTCAAATAATCTCAGACTAATCAAACTGAGATGAGAAGTTTCTAAGCAGCTGTAGAGGGTCCGGCTATAGTCCAGTGCAGCAAAGCACCCTCTGTCTACACTGATTACAAGTTCTGTAGAAGCAAAAGCAGTAACTGGATGTACAGATCAATTTCTCCTCTGACAGCTAGGAAAGCACCTTCTCTGTGAAGGAGACAAACAGCACATTTTATCCTGGTTCACAATAAATGCTATTGTTTCAATTTATTTCATGCATGGGTAGGAGGAGACTAGAAATACCAATACATAATTTCATGCCTGTGTGTGTGGGGAGAAAGTTGTGCAATCTGGAAAGACCCCAGGTACTTTTCCAGCTGATGCCCACCCAGAAGTCTGCCGAACAGAGCCACATGCAAGCTATGGGCTGCAGAAGGGAGAAAATGAGTAGCTAGCAGTAGGTACCAGCATGCAGCACTGTTGTATAGCAGAGACAATCATGTGAGGGCATAGTGCTGTCTGAAACCCAAACCATCTACAGAACCCCAGGCTGAGTCTCCTGCTAGCAGATGGCTCTTGCAGGAAAACTGTTCCTTCAGAGTTGGGCCTTTTGGGCGTTAGCAACGTGAACAGTAGTTTCAGTTAATCCTTTTGCCTTGCAGTCCAGAAAAATGAATAGGGTATGTTCCTACCGCATCAGCACCCTCTGAGGGCAGGATCAAGCTTTTGTTATGCTTATGCAACTGTGACAGAAGACTTTATCTTATGCATTCATATGGAGTTACTTCTATTGGGTAGAAGCTGGGCATCCCTGAGAGGAAAGCATCTTCCATATTACAGTCTGCTCCTATAGCTAGCATGAGAAGCTGTTATTACTTTTCCAAAGCAGAAATACATGTGTGTCCATTTTAGGAACTGTCTTGTTTCCAAGAACACTGAATTTTAAAGAAATGAATCTGACTTGTACAGCATCCTTTTGCATAAAGCTTTGGGTGCCACCAGTATATTGTAAAAACTCGCTTTTGCTCTTTGCTGTTAGCAACAGCAGTGGTTCCAGGCCCAAGACTAATTCCAGTGCTTTCACTGACATCAAACTCTTTTCATTGTAAACCTCCATTAGCAAAGAAACTGTTCTGTAACACCTGTACAAACTCAGAGTAACTCTTGTGCTGTCTGTGCTGTTATGCCAGCATTCAACTAGAACATTTAACCTCCCACACAACTGGTGCTTTGGAGATCAGGACATCTGACAACATAACTAGTAGTCTCCAATGTCTGAACCTTGATTCCTTGACTCTGTAGGGTTTCTGACAACACACACAAGCATCCACACCTAAACCGAGCTGGACATGAACCAGTGCTATAAGGCGTCTTAGATACCAGAGCAGGATGATATGAGAAGCACCATCTTTTTTTTCTTTAATGACCCACCATTCTGTCTAGAGCTAATTCAAAATAGTACCTGCCAGATTCTGAGTTTCAGAGCTGTTGGCTTTGCCAAAGGACTAGCTGTGGTGACACATGCTGAAAAACATGGGAGCGTACTGTTTATTCAGCCAGTAGCACTGCAGTTCCTGTTTGCATGACTAATTCCACAATACTTCCTCAATGTTTGCATTTGTGAACATGCAGGGAATTCTTCACATGGGAATGGACTTGCAAGGAACATTCTATCTTTAAGGATGATAGCCAAAAGCAACTCATTTTGCATGAGGAACAGTGAGCCAAGACAGACATCACTGTTGTAGGGGAAGTATTAATTTTAGTGACAAAGGTGCATGATTCACCAGGTTTGTTAAATAATTGAATCCCTATACTACTTTGCCAAGAACATGGAAAAACCCTTACTTCCTTCCAAAGAATCCTACTGAGAGAAGGACTTCAGAAAAAGAAAGGCACTGGTCGTCTAATGTATACAGATATAAACATGCTTCTATATACACAGTAGTTGCACTCAGTTTGAGAAAGCTCAGCTTCACCTACTTTCTTTGACTGGAGGCTGGGAAATGTAACCACATATACTCCAGTACAAAGCAACTCATTGTAGCATTCTATCTTTTAATGTAAGCATGATGTACCCTGTTCCTTTATTTAAGATACTTAAGCAATTAGTGAGGTGTTTCAACAATCAAGACTGCTTTCTGCTTTGAATACAACAGCCTGCAGATAATATAGGAAGCAAAGTATTCCCATTTTCACAACCCTATGTCAGAGGAGAGGAAAAAACCATATATGACTGGCTTATTTCTCCTGAAACCATATTTGCTTTCTGTATATAGATGTGTGTGTGTATGTCAACGCTTTCGTATGTATGTAATACACATATTATTGCACAGTCTGGAGAAAGATTTAAGAATGTGGATTGGAGGAAGGATGATTTCTAAGTGCTCACTGGAGGTGAAGCTACAATGAATCAAACATACTGTCAGTAATGACACATCTCCCCAGTTAAATCCATCATGTATTTCCCTTTTACAGTACATGTAACCCACTGCTTTCAATACTTCCCTGTGTTACAGGTGTGTGGAGCAGAACCATACCTCAAGGAACTTTGTTCTCCACCATGGATGTCACTACAGAAGTATAAAATCCCTTAGAGCTTGCAGAGAATGCAGGACCCAAGTTGCACATTAACACTGCAAACTAGTGTTTCACAATTTTGGAGGTATTTTCTGATTACTGTGGGCAGGACCACTTTCCTGACTATGAGTCTAACAAGTTCAGGTTAGAGAAACACTTAAAAGTAAACTTCATGAAATAAAACCAAACCCAGTGTGGACACTTAAAATGCTTTGAAATGTGAGACTAGCAGGAGGTCAGAACCAACATCATGTTACTGGAGATGAAGACATGGTCTCACATAGATGGAGAATAACCAGCCTAAAACTCAATGGGCTTCAGTGACCGAGCTTTACTGATATACGCAGCCTGAAGTAGCAAGTCCCCTGCTTATCTGCATATGGAATAGATCACTGAGTTGATTCTAAATACATAAATATAGCTGAAGGAATTATTCTGTATCTTATGATTGCAAGCACCCCAAATAAGGTTTGATGGGAGATACTATTCTTTCCTCAAGAAGGGACATGTAAATGCACCAATCCTTTTAAGAACAGCTCTCTGGAAACATGAGAAAATGGAACCATGTGTCCACATCAGAAAGAGCAGGTGGGTTTAAAATCATTCCTGCCCCACTGGGTTCTGTGAAACACCTCACCAGAACCTCTGCCGAGACTAATAATAAATAAATAATACATATAAATAAGTAGATGGTTCATCAATTCTAAATTAACAACATAAAATTAATGTGGTTGTGGCAGCAAGTATTTTCTGCCTTCAAAGAAAGTCTTCTCCAGAGGTGGAAAAGGAAAAGTTTGGTGCTTAATTAGCTAGACCTATAGCATTTCAAGTAAACCACATTTCATGAGAGCTAGCGGCTGGACTTCAATGCAAAATGCAGTTTAGCCATTGGTATTTCAAAGCCAACAAGGCTTTACGGCCACTTTGGCAGCTGCTATTCACAGATGAAGAAGGTCAGATAATACTTTGCAAAAAGATTTCTGCCTGGCTAGGCCGAGAAGTTGCTTCAGCTGGCAGCTGGGAAAGGGATTCTCTTCAGGCTGGCCACTGCCTCCAGGAACTCATGTGTTCTGATATGATAACTCAAACATGTTGCAAGACTCTTCAAAGTTTTCATCCATATTCAGTCGCCTCCAGAAGGATTTCTGCTTCTTCTGCAATTCCTTACGCACACACCTGGGGCATGGCACAGCCTTCACTTTGCACTCAGAGTGGAAGACAGCACCACAGCTTTCACACCTGCAAACACAAATTAGTGTCAACATTGAATGATAAAATAGGACCAACCAGAGCATGCAACGGACTTCACATGGATTTGGGGGGAGCAGACATTTCCTCAAACAGTTCTGGTAGCTCAAAGAGCACGACGTTTCAAAAGAGTGGAGCTGTAAAAAACACTGGCTTGCCCACACCTCTGCTGGTGTAAAGCTACTCATGACCACTAGAATAAGCTGACTTGCTGCCACTGCTGAGAATCTGTCCCAGCACCAATACTTATCTTCTTATTAACTAGCGTTCAGGTCTATCACAGAATAGACGTTTTTGTTTAATGAAAGCCAAGTTTGCTTCTTTGGTTTGTAAATGAAGAGTAACAATATTCATTTCCATCAAGATACATTTCAGCATTTGTAACAGTCAAGATAAGACATTTTCCTCATCGATGTTCCAGTGGTCAGCTGTTCTGAAAAGAGTAAAGTCCACTTCAACAGCAGAAGTCACACCACAAAGTAAAAAAATCCTCAAACAGAGGTGGGTAATGTCTTCTGCTCTGTGTCCTGTGGAAGACTAGACTAGAACAACACAATTATTGCTTCTGTCTTTCAAAGCTGTGCTATTCCATTCTAAAATATGGTATCATAACTCCAAACAAACCAACTGCTCAAACAAGATGACTGGATTACTCTTGAGGCACTCTGATGCAATGGACGTAATGTCACAACAGATCAAGCCCCAGTTCCAGATAGCAGTGGAGCAATGAAACATCTGTTGATCATGGCGTGGGCTACAACTGAACAGTTGAACATTCTCAGCCTTTCAATGCAAATAACTGTCTGTAGAGATGAGTTAAGTCTCTACAGCTTTGTAAGCAAATGAAATTAATAAAAGGATGACAGTGTCAGAGGCACAAAGTCTTAGATTTCAGTTGGATAATCAAAAAATCAAAGCAACAAAACATCAAACTTTAGAGTGATTTTGAAATAGAAATGAGGGGCTCTGGCCACCCCGGTGATTCTGTAAGGAAGTCTTGCAATGCCTTGCACTTTACCTTTTTGCAGCTATTGTAGTCAAATGACTAACAGAAGAAACCAAGTGCCTGTTGTTACATCTTCAATGGGCTTTTTGCCTTTTTGCTTTGAGATTTTTTGTTAGGTATTTTTCTTGGGTATTTTTGTTATTTTCTTTGAACCCCTTTTTTTTTTGCTGTTAGAAATAAGGTTCTTGTCTTCAAGGCTACGAAGAAAACCCCCAACACTGAGAAGCTATAAGGCAAACTGTAGCATTTGGCATACAGTCTGACAATACTGAGACAAATCCATAAGCTAATGCAACCTGTTGGCTGTACTGGCTGCATCTGCATCTTGCCTGTAACTTTTAAAACCTGGTTCCTGATGTGGCTGTACTTTAAGTTTTATGCATGGGTCCAAACGTGGTCTAAATTTCAGTATCTGCAGAGCTCACATTTCTAGCTAGCATAAACTGATAAAACCTAAATAACAAGTAAGAAAAGGAAGGTTAAAGAGGCTAAGTATAATGCTGTATATCCATGAACTTCTATGCTCTCTCGCAGTAAAACTTGACTGTTGTATTTCTAAATCCGGTTAGTGAGTATAAATCTAAGTTTGAATCGGGAAACTGGCTCACAGAGAGATATTTATCATATCTGTGCTCAGAGAGTGTGTGTTATGGCGCTGATCCAGTGAAGCACATAAACACATGCTTGGGACTCATATCCCAGTGATCTCCTTGGGATTACTGATCTGCCCGCAATTAAACATGTACTTACGTGCTTTGCTGGATTGGAATCTCCATGAACAGACATTAATGGATGAGGGAAAGATAGAAAGGACAGCAGTGTCTTTAAAACTTTACACCATTCTGATCTGACACTAATGGTGATTTTATCAAGCTAATTTTCCCTTGTTAGTCAGCAATTTACAATGCCCTGGAAATTGCTAGAGGGTAATGATTGATGAGAAGTGTAATTTTGTGTGCTCACACTGCCACTCCCTACCCTCGCTCAACATTTCTCCACAGTATGCACAGAGGTGATAAAAGTTATCAGAAATGGCTGCTGAAATGGATGGAGCAGGATGACAGAGGAGACAGCACACCTACTCTTCCCACTAGAGAATATCAAAGGCCATCAGCATTAAAAACAAAAATTGATGGTGTTTAAAGAACGGTTAATTCATTTTTCAGAAATAAGTGCACAGAAAAAATTAACAAACTTCTCTCACATTGCTCAGAACCAAAAGAGAGAAGTGTCTGCACTGTCATTTATCAGAGTTGGTGCCATAGCTGAAGCTCTGACTGGGACCCCATGTTGTCAGGCACTTACCAGAGGCAGTCCGAATAGCCAGACCTGGATCTCACAGTCCACTGCACTGGCAGCCAGCGTGACCACTGTTGGTCCATTCTGATGCCCCCAGCCCTCACTGCTGCTCTGAAGGCTTACTTTCTGCTTTCTCCAGTGAAAGCTGAGGTACTCCCAGCCCCAGCTGGGGGGTGTAGATAACAACAGCCTGGAAGAACAGTGATCCCAGCTGGAGAACAAAGCTGCCTCTTGCTCTGCATAGGGACAGGTAGAGAGGATACCTGGGTCAGCCTTCACTGTGTGCTTGTATCCTCTTATTGCTAAAGAAACTCAGTCACCAGGGCAGGGAGAGATGAATGCTGATCTCACTCTGCCTTTGTGCAAATGGTTAAGTTACATCCCTTTAAAGTGATGGAGCTATATTACCCCAAGCCACCTATAGCTTTGCTTTTCATCAGATCAGATACAAGTCAGTTTTAACTGGCCCTGGAAATGTCAACTGGTTGACCATTTCTAATCTCACTGTGAGAAATTTTCCAGTGATGCCGAAAAATCCCACCAAAATTATATTCCTTCTTAGAATATTACAAACAGGTTGCTTCGTATTTAATCCTGACCATTAATTTTAACTCCATGTGTGAGTTTCACAGCTTTTCTTTACTGTCATTTTTAAGCCTCTCTATTCCAAAAAGCGTTTATTTCTCTGGTGAAAAAGTACATTTTATAGTCTATAGAAGGCTTGTGTAATATTTCACTACACTTACATTATCTTTCCCTTAACCTTTCTTGTTGTCACAGGTAATTCACAGTTCAGGTCCTACTCCTGAATCCTGACTTCTCTGGTTAGAGGCCAAAGCACCTTTTCTGAGGCTTCCACTCACCACTGATAATAAGCTGACGGGGCCATAGCTGTTCAGGCCTTTCATGTTTCCTTCTTTAATGAATGATACTGAAATACTGCACATTAACAGCATCTTTCTATTTCTGAAATATTATTTGAAGAATTGGTGAACATTGCATGTTGTTTTCATAAATTTTCTGTCTTCTAAGAAGGCAACTGAAATACCTTCCTCTCTATTTCAGTGTTTTCTCTCTTTTCTCTCCTTCCTGACCAACTCAATTTCTACTGAGACTACAGGGGATGTTTTACGTTTTAAGGATGTCTCACTTGTTTGAACATCAGAGTGACAAAAACGTAGAGAATTATTCAATCCTCTAAATAATTTCTATTGCATTGAAAACTGCAAGAAAGAAAGGGCAAAGCTCTCCACAGCCAGACAGGCACTATTATGCTCTTATTATTACCATTACCAGCTACAAAAGAAAAGCCTTTCTACATTAAAAGCATAAAATCATTCCCGTGCACTGAGGAAATGCCAGTGTTAGTATCACCCATGAAGGCTGGGCATTTGAAACATTTACATGTCGTTATTTGGTAAACTGTAAATTCTGCCAAGTTATATTCATGCTTCCCACATGTATTTCACAGGCTTATGGCTCAAGTAATTCTAGATTCTGCACAACCAACTGATTACACTTGTATTTCTCCTCTGCCCTACACCATCATGTAGATGCCTCTGGGTAAGATCGGGTGCACAAACAGGCAGGGGGTAACATAAAGAGGCCTCAAAGACCTTCCACATTAAGCAGACAAAATCAACCAGAGATGATCAACTGGAGGCCCAGGACCTCATCTGAAAGACAGGGTTTTTGCCTCCTAGGAACCCAGTATGTTGACAGACTGGCCAGTGTGACCATGTTGGGATGAAGCTGCTGTGACTGGCAAGGTTTATTAGAAGAGCTTCTTTCTAGAACATTTAAAACCCCCACTTCCTCTGTGTCAGACCTTGCACACATTTGCTCCCTTGAAAGGAATTTCAGTAACTGATTTAGGGTTGAACCTTCACTGACTAGAACTTTTCAGGTTTTTTCTTCCCCTCCATGCAGAGTAAAACGGGATTGTTCATTACGCTTTCATTATGGTTTTTAGATGATGCTATACATTCACCAAGCATCCAAAATACTAAGCCACCTGTAACCTGGTTATTAAAACACCGCAGCAGCTGAAGTAAGCCTTGCCTAGGGATTCCAGAATGATCACCATCCCACGCTATGCACATGTGCCTGTCTGCAAGTATTTCTTTCCCAGTTGTGACACAGCTTTCACAACTCTCAGAGACTTTAGCAGAACACAAAGAGAAGGAAAATGGACTAGCCTGTGTTCACCTGCAACACAAAAAAAGCCCCAAAGGCAATCAATGCCTGACACTCACGTGCAGCAATATTATTACAGTTGCCTAGGAACCAGCACAAGGAGCCTGCCTAAGGAGGGACGCCCATGTAGTAAATGAATGGAAGAAAGTTGGCACTAGTGCGACATTGATTTGTCCCTATAAGGAGCTTGTTAAGATAATACCTTGTATGACATATGGTTTTTACTAGACACGGTTGGGTTATTTTTAATACCATACTTAAAAACTGTTAATACTTCAGACTTGCTTTTGAAAACCTTACCTCTGAAAAGGAGAGCAAAAAAGGGCAAACAAAACCAGAACAGAGCCCACTTACCCAGCCCTCCAAATTGTTACACGCCTGAAATTCACTCGAAATGATCAATTCAGTGTTCAGGGAGCCAGCAGTGATTCAAAGCATAATTGCAGTTTTCCTTTCCATGTACCTGCTCATCAGACAGGGCTTATCCTTG